ACAAGAAAAAAACAACAGCAAACTGAGTCTTGCTGTCAAACCTGGACTGGGGCTGTCCAATCTTCACTTTCCAGTCTTGAGTTCTTCTGTCACGCTTCATCTTTAAAAGAGTCAGATTAGACGCAAAATGGAGCATTGGTGTTATATCTGGGCTGGAGTGGCCCAATCCTCACTCTCCAGAGTTGATAGAGTTCAAAACCGTTTACGCCGTCTTGTGAGGGAGAGATTTAGTCTCCATCCCGCAGCTTCTTTCCTCATAAATACAACGGTGCAAGGCTATCGTTGCTCTATATTTAACGATTTCCTAATCGTAGCTTAGGAGTGGTACAAGGCCAAAAGTATGGGGGCACTCAGTGAGGATCAAACTCTCTACTCAGTGGTAGTTGATCTAGCAATATAAACTTGCTAGCCATTACACCACGTCGAGGCACCTTCTTTATTCCCATCGCAAATGTTCAGATGGGCTTCATTCTTCCATCCCAGACTTTTGCAGTAGGACACACCATACTTTCACAGAATCAAATCATTTCCTCCGTATTCCAATTGCAAAAAGAAAGTTCCACATTTTCTCCCAAACTGCTATATTGGAGAACAGATTCCCATGTGGATGCTTTCCTGAACGCTACAATCGTAACTTCTTCAGGACAATCGTCATTATATCTAGACTCCTTATCCCCGTAATCTTCACTTCCTACCACCTCATCCCTCACTCACATCACACTGCATTTTATAATAGTTTTAACGGTTACTCTCTACTTTGAGTGGCCCTTGAGCCTAATATTGGGTGAACGTTAGTATAAAAAATGATACATATGAAAATAAACTGATTGACTGACTGATTTCCTTTTGCATAAAGAGCTCATGATATCGCATATGATAGTTGAAACAAGTTCAAATTGAAGCAGTCGCGCTTTGAATAAACACACTTCTTCTGTCTCTGGAAAGCGCAGCGAAGAACATTAAATCAACATAATAACGTGTTTTTCGATAACTAGAGTCAAGACAATCTGTGAGTAGCTTGTCTATTCCTGTTCGCACAACAACTCTTTTTAGGAACCGAAGCAGACAAAGAACGCTCTTCATATCACACAAATACGCAACAGTTGCGAAACACTAACGTCATTGCCTGACAGACACAAGAGGCTTTGTATACGTTATCTTCTACACAGCTTCATATATAAAGAAAATGTATCAACCTTCTCTTGTCCTTTTAACTTCAAGAAACTATTTTCAACTTAAAGGAGCCATGATCACCCACGTCCTGATGCGACATGGCATATCGAAGAAGAAAATGTATTTTAGAGAAAGAAAGAGTTCAGGGCAAATCTTTTAAAGAAAAAGCAGACGAAATGGATTTTTACTTGAATACTTAAAATTATCGGATTTTTAAAAAATCATTTCACTCCAAACAAAGCGAGAATACTGCTAGCACACAGGGAGTGAAAGTGAGAGAAAAGTTTGGGTATAGGGAGGGTTGAAATAAGGACGAAAGATGAACGGGATTCAAGAAAATAGAAGATGGCGATTGACGTTGCATTTAATTTTTTGAAGATTGTATTTATCAGGAAAGCAAGTAAACGGAAAGAAATTCCACAGGTGGGATGTGCGAGAAAAATAACTGTTGGAATAGAAGTGGCGGTTGCATTTAGCGATGTGAACATTAAACGAGTGGGACCTAGATGCCAATCTAGTGGCACACTTAAATTCATGTAGTCGGTACACCAGGTCAGAGCAGGTGCTATGAAAATATTTATAGAAAAGACAGAGGGAAGCCACCTGACATCGGTGAGAAAGTCGAGATGCCAAGTCAGGATCGTATTACATTTCGCTCGATATGTTCTTTGGCTCGCAGAGTTTTTTCTGATCTTTGCAGAGAAATGAATTCCAGTCGGGTTTGTTACATTTACTTACGTATAAATACTCTTTGGAAAGGTATGGATCCATCTCTTTCTTTCCTCCCCAGACGATCTCTTCTCTTGAATAGCAGGACAGACTGGATCCTATAGTCTTGGTTGGCAACCAGTCTACCGCAGAAACAAATGGCAATCTACCGCGGGAAAATCTTCTGCCTACTCTACCATGAATAGAAAGAGACATAATCGCCCAAGCGTCTATCACGTATCGTACTTAATTGATTGTTTAAATGAATCCACAGATCATGCGGACGAATATCGCTGGCTTTATTGTTTTTAGCATAATATATCGGATTTTTTTCTTAAAAATTTTGCCTTGGGAATAATTCAGGGGTTAATAAATATTTGTGTTTATTATTAGAAAAAAAAACCCGAAGACGACAAAACATTGTGTTTACAACAAATCTATAATTAAACCAATCACAATATGTATCCATATACATACGTCAGAGAAACAACAATGCCATTTGATATCAGTAGAGTGTCGTGGGTTAGTCTTAATGATGCTGCATTCCCGAAATCAGGCCCGGGTCCAGGATCATTGTGGAACAGGGGCTTTTGTCGAAAGAACAGCAGTTTATTTGAACAGCAGCTTTATATCCCAAAAAAAGAAATTTCATAGAAGAAAAATATAATAAAATTTTAATCACAGTTCCTTATGAGTAATCTTCAACTATCACTGTCTGTCTGTCTGTCTGTCTCTCTCTCTCTCTCTCTATATATATATATATATATATATATATATATGTATGTCTTGGTAGCAGGCTACACGATTAGCGACGATGTCTGTCTTCCAATTTATGGATTATACTTCACGGAGCATAATCATAGGTATAGGGAGAGAGCATAAATTGATGTTATCAGTAGGTGAACAAAATGAATTGTAACTTCGATATATATATATATATATATATATATATATATATAGAGAGAGAGAGAGAGAGAGGGGGGATCATTGAAGATTACTCATAAGGTATTGTGATTAAAATTTTATTATATATATAAATAAACATATAAGTGGGCATTGAAGTCAACATTGTCTTTTGAGCTTTAAATGACGTTTACACATTGAACATAAATATAGTATATCTTAAAAACTACATTTTATCATATATATATATATATATAGTCATGCACAGAGAGACTGTATGACAGCTCATCAGTGTGTCATCAAGACGGGATTGAAACCCGATGGATTTGACATCAGCAGGAGACTCTCACTTCTAGGCCAAAAGCGCGCGCTAGAAAGAAATGAAATTTTTAACACATTATATACAAGATATATGCATTATCGGCTACCAGAGAGCTCAATTCAAAGCCATCAAATTCCCTTTCTCCCAAAAGTGCTCAGCCCACGAATGGGAGCAAATAATAGAGTGTTTCGCTATACCATAGCTCATCTGTGTAACTAGACATGCAATTGGTTCAAGCCAGGACCGAAACCCGACCAATTTGACATCAGTCGGATATATATATATATATATATATATATATACAAGGAGAGAGAGAGAGAGAAAGAGAGAGAAAGAGAGAAGGCGAGAGAGAGAGTGTGTGTGTGTGTGTGCGTGCGTGTGTATATGTTAGTGTATGACACTTTTCGCGGCGCCCGTATATACTACACACATTGATACTGTATTTACTTTTAGAGATGAATACAATATTTCCTTACCATTAGCATAAATTCTTTCATTAAATTTAGCAAAACAATCGCTCATTTCATTAAATTTAGTGTTTATAAGTAACTTGTCGAATCTCAAAAACCTAGAATTTTGAATGCCACATCTGCGCAAAAAGTGGTTGACTGATAAAAAAAAAACAAAAACAAAACTGAATTTTCCTGGAAAATCCTTTTGAGGAGTTTCTGCAAGGGTGTAAACTGAATAATCTCGAAGAAATCTTGTCGATCACTGGACTCAACCAATTTTCTTAAGATCACCTAGTGCAAATACCGAACAAAATATGTACACAGGGAAATCCGCTTAAGCCTTTTTCTACGATAAATGCATACAATAATTCTAGATTTTGTCAACTGGTATTTCTTTACTTTGATTTTCTATTTCCCCACTATCTGGCGTAACCTGCTGTCCACAGTCGATTTTGTTTCTCTTGTCAGCCATCGATACTTTAATGCAGGCAATCATTTTTAATGAGTTAACTGGTTGAGTTCTTATTCCACAGATGATTGATGTTACATAGTCCTATAGAAAACATAACCTTGTACCAGAATTGAACCATCGACTTTCCGTTTGACTTGATATTTGGCGTGCGAGGTTGAGAGGACGATAGGTTGTTTAGGAATTTTGATTGTCTGACAATTTACGATTTCCAAAGACTATTGCCAACTTTTATAGGATTTTATGCGCATAATCGGTATTCGAATTGACGTAAGATTTCCTGCGACGAAGATTTTGGACTCTTTCTTGATGCCATTCTTGGTAGCGAATCCGTAACAAGTCTGCTGATCGTCTCACCCCAACCCAGCCACAATTTGCTGCTGCTTCTCTCCTTTTCTGCCAGACTCAATCCATTAAACATTCCTAGAAAGGTAGGAGAATTAACCTACACAAAATTACCAGCATCCGGAGGCGACTCAGCAGAAAACATATTTAAAGTATTTAATGTTTTTCATTTAATTCATCTCTCTTAAAACATATAACTTCAGTATTTGTTTGTCTTTTGAAAGATAATTTATTTGGTCTCTTTGCATGTGTAGCTTTGAGTGGGTGTGCTTGTTTTTTAACATCATCTCTGTGTCATGTTGTTTTAATGTTAGACAGAATAGGCCAGGTATTTGAGAACACACATTAATCATGCCATAAATGGGAGATAGGATAACGTAATATTATGCAGCATGCGGTAAATTTTAACATTCTCTTTCCGATGTATCAAAAGTATTAAAATGATATGAAACTGGAAATGAAAAGGTACACCAGCAACAGCGATACAATTTTTTTTAAAGTGACGCGATTAACAGGAGAAATGAGAATTGGTACGTGGTTTCCAGAGAGGTACATCAAGTTGACATCTTTTTAATGTTCCTTTTAATACAATCTCCCTACCTGGCCTTTCCGTAAAGTCTCAACGTCAATGTCACTGCCTACAACAAGGTGCGAAGTACAGTGGTCAATATCCATATTCTAGCAGGACGCTGCTCCATGTTAACCAGGAGAATTTTTAAAATTATACCATTCCCAACATGTAGGCTTCGATCACTTCTGATTCAAATCCGTTGGACTATTATGTCTGGAGTGTCGTCGAGAGAGAAAGCAACCAACTCAACAATGTCAATGACCCGCTGAAGACCGCCATTGAGGATGTGATTGACAATATGAACGAAAACCACCTGCTGATGGCGCACGGAGCTCGTTCTCAAATTTGAAGACCGTTTTATTAAATGACTCCTTTTCTATTTTGATGATTTGAACATGTGTACAAATTATTTTCAATAGAGATTGATTTTTTTTTAATTATATACTATTTTCTTTATATTATAATTGATTCACAAATACCATTGCACCTCTTGCAAATGTTCTCTTTTTATATATGCTGGCTTTCAGTGTGATTACTTTTTATTCGGATTGTCGAAATTTATTCATAAACTGACTCTGAAACAACGTCCATCTTATTTATTTCTCTCTCTCTCTCTCTCTCTCTGTTTTTATCTCCTTTTCTCTCTCAATGATTGAATATTTCGCGTAGGATCGACGCCAATAATTTTACTACAGATCTTAATACTGTCTCCCTTTCTTTTTGAGTAGCTCTCTGGAGAAGAAAAAAACTAAAACAATTTGTCTGTTTTTAAAGCAGAGAATTTCAAAGAGGCTTAGCAACAATAATTGTACATCACATCAGTTATGTAAGCAATGCCGACTATTAAATTAACCATCACACATTTGTTTTAACTGCCAAAAGTCTTTCAAGGGCGACGTGTCAATGGGGAGATTACAACAACAAAACAAATACAAACGCCATCAAATGTCGAGAATAACAAAACAATTAAGATGCAGTCAAAATCAAAAAACAAAAGAAATCAATTATGAAACGAGAAGAAGAAGAAGAAAAGATTCTTTTCTGTCGGAAGAAATAGGATGAAATCACGAAAAATGCATTTTTGAAATATTTAGTTTTCCTCGTTTAAAGAATTGTTTTTTTTTTTTTTTTTTTTTTTTTTTTTTTTTAAGACAAAAAACATAATCCTCTTTTTACGGCTGGAGAAAGCCATTCAACATTTAGGAGAGCAGAAAATGGTTTCGTTCGAATCAGAAAATGCGGAGCCGAAACTGAGAAACCTGGAAAAATGTTTCAAATGTAAACGAACAGTGAAACATACCAGCTGAAATTGTCTGTCTGACTGTCTGTCTGTCTTTCATTCTCAATCTACGCACACACACACACACACACACACACACACACACACACACACACACACACACACACATATGTATGATAAAAAATATATATTCATGAGTAAAAGTGCTCAATATCAGAGATAGAGCATATTTAAATATAAATATGAAAGTGGAGACTGATGTCAACACCGAACGGTTACAGTCTTTTTCATGCATGAACACAATATTCAGGCCTATCTATCTATCTATCTATCTATCTATCTATCTATCTATGTGTGTGGGGGGGGAGATTGAGAGCGAGGGAGTGGTGGGGAATTGGTCACTATTTGAAAACTAGGCACTGAACATATAACAGAGAAGTGGAAACAGTTGCACAAACCTAACTTACAATCTCTCTCTCTCGCCCCCTCTCTCTTTCTCTCTCTCTCTATATATACATACACGTGTGTGTGTATGTATGTGTGTGTACGCATATGTGTAGGTGTATACGAGGAATTATGAAAAGCTCTCAGTACGATCCATTTTTCAAAATCTTCCCAAATTTGGAAGGATTCTCTTCTTTTTGGTCAGGCACAGACACACACACAACACACACACACACACACACACACACACACACACACACATATATATAGATATAGATATATACATATATACATACAGAGAGAGAGAGAAGTGTGAATATAAACTAAATGACAAGATATAAGCAACTGTGCGATAGTGTGCGTATACAGTTAAGTATTTAATTCATGGTGTAAACAAAGCAGTGCTCAATGTAGTTAAACAGAGCTATAAAGTATATTAATAAATAGACATATATCTACGCTTATCCTACCATATATATATATATATATATCGGTGTGTGTGTCTGTGTTTTTGTGTATATATATATATATATATATATATATATATATATATATATATTGAGAGGACATTAATGAGACGAAGAGAGAATGGAGATAGTTCACACATACACACACACACACTCGCACACAGACACAGGCACACACACAAACACAGGCACACACACACATGTATTGTACAACTCCGAGTTTCACACTCGGAGTTAGGCAACTAATGTAAGATATATATAAGAAATATATATCTTACATTAGTTATATAACATTTATATATATATATATATATATATATATATATATATATATATATAAAGAGAGAGAGACTGAAAGAATTTAACAAAAGATAAATAATTAGATAGAACGATAGCTAGTAATAATATTAGTAGAAGAAAGAAAGAAAGAAAGATGTTTTTTACCATTGACCTAACCTAAGTTAAATCATAGAAAGTGACTTGGTATTCTCAAATTTTACAAGAACCTGGAATGAGGAAAAGAGAAAAAAAAAAACAAAAAACAAACTTTGATATGATTTGCCAAAGGCGAGGAACTTTAATGAAAAAAGAAAAAAAGTACGGAATGTTTTTCGACAGTGAGTCATAAATAATGACAACATTTACAATTCGAGATTTCTTAGATTCTCAGCAGCTTCTCTTTGGTATTAAGATAAGGAATAAATATGGCCACCGATAGGAAGCAACAGACCGACACTCACCACTCTCCACCATGATGAATGAAAAAAAACAAAAAAAAAAAATTTTTTAAGTAAGTAGCAGCAGCAATGCTTACAATGGTGTGTGTGTGTGGCTGGGGGGTGTTATTGCATCTGTGTGTCTGTCTGTGTGTCTGTCTGTTTGTTGGTAAATGTCTCTTTCAATTTACTCTGAAAATTATCCATATTAGGAGAGAGAGAGAGTCTTTTTTTCTTTTTGCGTGTAAGACGGGCCGAGTGAGGCGTGGATCTTTTGCTTATGGATTTCTCAGTGAACAGAAAGAAAGGATCACGCATTTCTTTCTCTTTTACGCGCTTATGGCTTTCCATATTGAATTCTCTTCTCCAGTCGCCCTCTCCTCCATCTTTCTCAACCTTTCTCTCTCTTTCTATGCCTTGCCTCTCCCTCCCTTTCCGTGCTTTTCTCACTCATTCTCATCCCCCCTCTCTCTTTATCTCTTTTCATGCTTTCCCTCTCCCTCTCTTTCCGTACTTTCTCACTCTTTTTTCTCTCTCTTTTTTCCTTTCCTCTCTTTCCGTGCCTTTTCCCTCCTCTCTCCCCCTCTTTTTAGGTTCTTTCATTTTCACTCTTTTTTTCTCTCTCTCTCTCCTCCTTTTCCCATGCTTTTATGTTTTTTTCTTCTTCTGCTCTTTTTGTGATTTCGTATTCCTCTTTCGCTCTATTTCTGTCCTTTCTTTCCCACTCCTTCTGTTTCTACTCCTCCCTCTCCGTGCTTTCTCACTCCTCTCTCTCTCTCTCTCTCTCTTTCTCTCTCCCTACTTTTTCTATGCTTTCTCACTTCTTTGTCTTTCTCGATCTATTTCTTCCCTTTCCTTTATCTTCCTTATCTCTCTCTTCCCTCTTTACCTTTAACCTTTTCAACAGACTTATCTAATCTCTGGCCCGCAGATATTTTCCCGCCGCCTGCTCTTTTTGGCCCACCTTGACATTTTAACTTCTCTTCCTTATTTGATGCCATTTTTAACATTGTTTTTTTTTCTTCGAAATAATAAAACTTGTGTTTTGTCTGCTCTGCTTACAAATCGTCTTCCTCCTTTGTGTGTTATTTCATCGTTTACTTATTTACCCCACCCTCACCTCAATACTACTTACCTATTATTACTAATGTACTCACCCCCCAAAAGCTACCATTTACTAGACCCGCCCTTGAGATATTCATCTTTACTCATTTATCTTTACTCATCTCACACCTCATTCACTTATCCACTTTCTTTCCCTCATTTGCTTCCTCTTAATCTCCCTCTTACTCTCCCTCTTACTCTGCCTCTTAAACTCTTTCTTAAACTCTTTCTTACTCTCCATCTTACACTACCTCTTACTCTCTCTTACGCTCCCTCTTACTTTCCCTCTTTCGATCTTTCTTACTCATGCTTCCTATCGATTTCTATCTTCCTTACCCTCTTAAAACTTATTTTTCTTTCTCTCTCCACATTTATTTCTCCTTTTCGCTTTTTTTGGGCGTTTTCACAAACTTCCTTCTTTACTAAATTCATTTCCTTTATTCTCTTTCAAAGTTTTCATTCCCTCAATATTCTTCTTCTTCTTCTTCTTCTTCTTCTTATTATTATTATTATTATTATTATTATTCATTTGCATCTCCTCGTGAACCCAGAAATTACAGAAACTCTAAAAAAGAAAAGTTTTGTAGATAATCAATATCCGATGAAAAAGCAAAACTTATGGCGAGTTAATATTTCAGCTAAATAACAATTAGAAATCTTTGATATTACTGTCATCTTTTATATTTTAAAATTGTCTGAAGAGCCTCGTTTTCAAATATTTCCTCCATTCTACTTCTTTTCATTTCTATTTTCCCTTTCTTCCTTTTTTTTTGCATTAATTTTAAATTTTCTTTCTTTTTTTCTCGACCTTTTTCTTATGAATCAACAAATTTCAGCAAGTATTTCCTTTTATGTATATTTTTTATTGTCTTTCTGACATTTCTAATAAACATAACTTCTTTCTTTCTCTTCCTCTTTCCCATATGTGAAAGAGAAATTCTATGATTTAATTTTCCTTCTTTTCTCTTTCTTCCTTTCTTTTCTTGATACCTCTCTCTTCATCTCTACTTTTCCTAATCCTTATCTTTTATCTCCTTCCCCCCATTTTATCCTATAGGGCCTCCTTCCCCCCCACTCTCTCTCTCTCTCTCTCTCTCTCAATGTCTCTGTTTCTTTGTCTCTCTGATTTCCTTTTGCCTCTCTTTAAATATTTCATCTCTGACCATCACACATTGACCAAAATTGGTGAAATGCCTTTTTACCAAGGAAACAAAAATCTCTTTTACATTTCGTCTCCCCACCTTTCTCACTGCTTCTTCCACTCCTTTCTACTTTTTCCCCCTACCAGACTTTCTCTCTTCCATTTTTACCAAACGCAAAGTAAATAATCTAATGAAAGAAAACAGAAGAAGAACCTTTCGTATAAACACATTCTGATTAATAGCTCAAAATTTTGGTCTCAAAACTGAAGTACGTACTTGGGCAGAAAAGTGCCACTATGATTTGCCACTTTGCTTTCGTTCTTTCTAATTACATTTTTAATTATTGTAATCAGCCGCTCGACTTTAATACACATTGTAAAAAAAAGAAATAAAAGTAAAATAAAAAAGAATTAATATTTTTGCAGCATCTGACTTAGGAAATTGTCGGAATCAGAATTAACCAGAAAATACAATTTCAAAGTCTGAATCTTAGAAAATCATCTGACCTTAATAAAAACCCGTTTTAAAATCTAACATTGAAACTTCATTTTCCCAAGTATTTTGAATTTTCCTTCTGACGTTCTGGTTATCAAAATAATTAGGCAAGTGGTTGAACAAAATGTCATTCTTCTCTGTTCAGGTTTTGTGACAAATTTAAAATAAAAAATGGAATTCAATGTCAAAAATTATTTCCTCTATTCACTGGATCATAAATGTCTTAAAATTTGAATACTGAATACAACTTTCACTCTTAATAAATGGAAAAACAAAACCCCAAATTTTCGAAAACATTAAAAATGATTTGCCAGAAGATATTGTTCAAATTGATATTAAAGTTATAGTTTTAAATGCTCGTTTGGTGACATTCGCGTTGGTTTTAACGCGGGAAATATTCATTTTACCGAAATCTTTGACGAATGTGACATTTTGCTTCAATAGATTTTTATTTCAAAGTCAAAAATTTCCAAAGTCATGTTCTGGATGAAAATCTGGTCAAAAAGCAACATTTTTTCAAAATTATTCAAGATTATTCAGGATTATTCTTGGCGTAATAAGTTGATTGTTAATTTTTTCTTATTTTTAAATCCTATACAGATCGTTGCGATAGTGTTAGAAGAGAAAAGAATATTATGTTTTGAACTGAAAGTACATCATGATTATTCCATTATTCCATTATTCAATTAATACATTATTCTGTAAATTCTTTATACGTAAATGTTATTGTCATAATTATTTAAAATATAGACATAATTATGGGAATAAGTGTAACGTTTGGTTGTCTCGTATAACAAGTGAATGTAATGGCAATTCTCTGACAAAGATGGATGGAGTTGTACAGTCTCATTATAATGTTATTACATCGACTCTTTGGTGTTTACGGCCATATCACATTGAAACACTCGTCCCCCGTACGATCAAAGAAGTTAAGCAACGTTGAGATCGGTGACCGTTTGGAAATACGAGTCACTGTAAGCTTGGATATGTGGGTGGTGCAATGGATAACAGCTCAGAATTTGAAATTGGAGAGCCGAGTTCCAATTTCAGTTGGGTTCGTTATATTCACTTGGAAAATATATGAATTCATCTCTTTTCCCTGCCATAGTTATAGATTAATGAATTTGTATCAGTCAATTATTATTATTATTATCTCTAAAAAAATTGTTTGGCTTAAGCCCTAACCCTAAACTGCAGAAGGTTGACAAGCCGTAAAAAACAAATCAATCAATCGGCACTTTGGTACTAGGTTCAGTGACTTTTAAGCGACCCTTGGATTTGAAATACACGTAAAGAAGGGGGAATAAGATATTGACCGTAACCAAACATTTTTCTTAAATACACTCTGTGTGGAATAACGAAAACGCTTTATTCCAGAAATTTAGGTTATAAACAGCATATGAACAACTTGGATTTTATTAACAAATTTCATTTTCCCCCAAAGAAATAAGGAGCAAATGTGTAGTCATTGAGAGGAGGAGAAAACATGCAGAATAGGTAGAAAATGGCAGTTCTTGAAGGTTTGAGAAAATTTAACAATTTTCAATTTTCCGACACGACAAAACTAGAACAGGAAGATTGAAAAACAAGCTCAGGTAGGTCTGAAAAACGTCTTCCATTGACAATTTGCTTTTCCTGTACGCACCCCCTCCCCAGTATACATTTGGGCGCTTGCCACAGAGAAACAGTTAGCAAATGTTTCTTACAAAATATATGCTAATGTGACGAGTGTTATCTTCATGGGCGCCCCATTATTGTGACTTTCTATCATACAAAGCTACATTTATGCAATAGCTTTTAAAACTCGTTATGGAACAATGGTTAGCAGCAGACCTTTATTATTGCATTAATTTAATGAAACGCACTGAGTGATTCCAGATATGGCCTTGTGCCAGATTGTATATTAAACATTTAGTAAGTCAGCAGCAGGAGAGCAAGAAGGACATAAGGTCGAAGTCTCTAAGTTCTAGATACAGGATTGTCCCACTGGACATTAGCCAGGTGGAGTCGCGAATTTGATGGCATAGTAATTGTGAATTAGTTTTAGTGAAAACGACGTTAGCAAAAATTGAGCCGTAGTAAATAAGAATAAATCAAGATATCCCGAGACATGGACAGTGGAATGAGAAAAATCAAATCGTGCAGATTAAATAAAATGTTCAATTCGAAATCTCTGAAGAAGCCCCGAAGGCAAAACGGCTGAATTGTGGTGATAATAACAAGGATGAGGATATTAGTCCGAATGTAAATAGTCTTTTGAACAGTTCTTTCAATATAGAATAAGCTTTTTAGAGGGAGCAGGAAATCGAATATCCGAAAACCGATGAAAAAGTATGAACATTATTATTATTATTATTATACCTTCGGAAATGTCGCTGTTGTTGTTAGGCACAAAAAAATGTCGCTGTTGTTGTTAGGCACAAAAAAATCATTTCAGAAATGAAGAATTCCTACTTTTTTCTTTAACTAAAGTAAACTACATCATTCTTTTTTTTTTCAGCAGAGGTCGATTTAAACTAAAGATCGGGAGCATGTGTGAGAGCCAGGATATTGTACGAACAGAGGCAAAAAGTGTCCCTGATGTCTGCAGCAAACTATGCTCTTTTTCACATAAACACGTTTTAATGTCTTGGTTTGCTTCAAGATGGGAAAGAAAAGAATTGGCGAAGTTTGAATTTTTTTTTTCGTACTTCTAGCTTCTCTCTCTCTCTCTCTCTTTCCTCGTCTCTCTCTTTCCTCGTCTCTCTCCTTCCTCGTCTCTCTCTTTCCTCGTCTCTCTCCTTTCTTTCGTCCTCAACCTCCTTACCCCCCCCTCTTTTGACGCGCAAGTTTTTATTTTTTTTATTTTTTATTTATTTGTGTTTTTATGTCAGACGTGGGAGTGCTGCTGAATGGAGAATTGAAGAAGGCGAAACGCAAAAGGAATGTTAAAAAATGAGGGTCAGGAGAAATTTTGATTTCTGCGAAATGTTACTTGAGACGGCAAAGGACGTGAGGCGGGGTTGAGGAATGGGGTGAAGGGCAAGAAGGCCGTCTGAGGTAGGCACGCGACCAAATTGCCGAAATGACGTAGTGCGTTGCTAGGTAGCCGTCAGGGCTATATATTATCTACTGTTCCTAATCTATCTATCTATCTATCTATCTATCTATCTAT